TCACAAGCAATCCAGGTGTTACCTCCAGGGAATGACACAGAACAATAGGTATCTAGGCTAATAAAACCGTAATGATTTTCTTGGCCAAACACTATGTGAAAAGTGCACATACACCTGAAAAATTCTATATTAAAAGAAACAGGCAGAAAACTTTTGGTATATTTGCACAAGCAATCCAGATGCTATCTCCAGGGAATGACACAGAACAATAGGTATCTAGGCTAATAACATCTTACCGATTTTCTTGGGCAAATGTTATTTGAAAAGTGCACATACACCTACAAGATTCTATATGAAAACAAACAAGTAGAAAACTTTTGGTATATTTGCATACTGAACTTTTCCATCGCCTTTACTTCAAGCTTTACCTCAAACCAACATTAATTGTAAACATTAAAACCAGTAATATTTATAAATGTGCACTGATCAAGAAGTACTGTAACTTTCTCTCACCCTTTATAAGCATTTACATGCAACACGGATGACACAGTCCTTTAACAAAGGTACCATGGTTGGTTACATTATATAGAAAGATTTTTTGTTTGTTTACGGTTAAGTATAAAGCTGCACAGTGTGCATACCATGGGTATTGAAACCTAGTTTTTAACATTATAAGCCTTCAGATTTACTGCTCTGCCATTGGTGGGTATACATATAGAAAGAAACTTTAACAGTGTTACTATTCAGACATAATAAACATCCTTTAACAATGAAGTTACTATGCTAATACAAAGCCATTAACTATAAGTGTAAAATTCAAGCATTTTTTGTGTTTTATTATGATATGATTCCTGGTGTGGTAGCATAAAAACAGAAATATTTCCCACAAGTAGATTTTTCTAAATTCCTTTGTTCATTCATTTTTACCAGTACATACCAATGTTTTTAATTGTGTACATATTTTAATGTTGTGTTAATAATTTATTTTTTAATATTATACACAAGTGCCAAGAAAATCATATACAATTATCATTCTCCAATTTTCACAGTGGCCCTAAGTGGGTGAGTCGTTGACAATTTTTTTTTCATTACAGCTTTACCCTTTAGAAAATACAACTACAAAAAAACAACAAAATCCACATCAAGTAGAAGATAAGAAAAAGTGATAAGCCCATCTGCCGTTACTGAGTGCCCACTGTTGGGGTGGGGCTTTCCACAAGACTGCTTTAACAGTACTTATACAAAAAATTACAATAATATAGAGTGGCTAAACAACCAACAAGACAGCTCCTGCTGTGGTTAGTTATGGTAATCCATTGCACAGTTTCTCAGTGATGGACCTTATGTAAATCAGACAATTCCTGTTTAGTGTTCTCTTATGCGAATTTCTCCCACCCAATCTCTTTTAGTGGAGTGAGAGAACCCTTGCTTCCTTATTATCAAACCACTGATATGGAGAGTTTTCCCTTCTGGTTGATGTAATTCTACTGGTATGAGACTGTGTGGATGAACCTCTCAATCAAAAGTAAGGCAGAAGGGTCAGTCTGGAAGAGTTGTACAGGCTACTCCATCACTAACAACCAGACACTTCCTGATGGGTGTGATCAGGAGGTAGGTCTTGAATTTTCCTCAGGATGCAGGCCTGGGATGATATATTCCAGTACAAATCTATCTTGTAATGCCTGACTTTACACATTGCCCTTGCCAAACTTAACTTCTATGTTCTGCTGACTCATTGAGATATATAGGGTGGTTAAGCAGCCTCCACATTCTGCCCACCTTTGTAATACTACAGGAAAAAGATCAAAGTTCTTTTGAAAGAACCCCTTCTGAACAACCACCGATGTTGGGGGAAGAGTATTCCCTGATAAAAATAGATGCAGTTTTTCACCAAGTGCTGCTCCCACTAAGTTTGATGCCCTGTCACTATATTTTCAGAAAGGAACTTATCTTTTTAATTTATTCCTTCACACTGGCCCTTCTACCTGCTTTTCAATGTGAGATTGTTCTTTTGAGAGGCATGTACCATAGTCTGATGTTAACATTATCCTGATCTCAAAATGTTTTTCACATACTAACCTTTCCACAGAACCACCCACCCACCCTGTCTCCCTACTTCTGCTGTGTTTATTTGCCTTACTGAGAAAAATCTCAATGTGCTCAAGGGGAACACTTCACATGGAGGTTGTGTTACCTTCCTATTGGTGAAGGGGTGTGGTCTGATGTTGCTTAGCAACATATACTAGTAAAGTACATGTTATTACATGCAGGGATGAGAGCTATTTCAATTAATTGAAACATGTGTATAAGCTTTTCAGCTTTTCAAGGCACTACCTAATTGTTCCATGTAGTGACAATGTTAACATTCATAGACTTTATAGCAGGTACTGAATTGTCAGATGTTGTACAATAACTTATACTGTTGGAATGTTTAATGTTTTAATAGCTGATGAAAATAAAGGTAAATTCACCAGTAGAAGTGATAAACACCAAAACTGCCCAATGTTTCAGATATGTTTATATTTGTATCATTCATGGATTTATATTCTCATTCACTGTCTATCTAAGGGTATTTTATTCAAAAGGTTACCATTCTTCACTACAGCTTATGTGTTGTAATTGACTTTGGGAAATCTGTGCTGTGTTAATTTTTATATATATATATATATATATTTTTCTTACATCTGAACCATTACTTAGCTTATAGAAAACTGTGTGGGTGGGAGCACTGATACACCTGTGAAAAAATGTTTATAAGCAAATGGCATAAAACTGATTCTTACCTTAAGTATTTGTGGTACGTAATAGCATACAAGATATTATGCATTAAAAGCAACAATATTGTTTCTGTAATTGATATTATTGCAGATTTCCCTAAAACTCATTCAAAAGTAGATTGATACTAAGAATACTCACAAGGAATACTAATTACTGAGTAGTTTTAAATTATGTTAAAATGAAATATTTTTTTTATTAATTACAAACAAAAGTATATATGAGCAGAAAAAGGAAAACCAAACTAATCTTATTTGGGTGTACCATTTATTTCAAAAGCATTTTAACTCAGTGAGAGTATTACAGCAGATAACTGTATGATCAGGTACTAGTATATGTGTGATGAAATGAGAACTTGTATTCTTTCCCAGCTGATTTTTCCAAGCTCGTTCCCTTGGCTGTGGTTTCGCTAGATAGTAGATAGGGACAGTGGGAATCTCGTTAATCCATTCATGCATTCCTAATTTGAATCTTGATTTCACTTTTGTTAAAATAAGTCTAATAGCTATGTATTTCATACAAACTAGATAGTAGATAGGGACAGTGGGAATCTCGTTAATCCATTCATGCATTCCTAATTTGAATCTTGATTTCACTTTTGTTAAAATAAGTCTAATAGCTATGTATTTCATACAAACTGTAATATAGAGTAATAAATGGGAGTTTTGCTTTCTTAAAGTTTCTACTGTTATTTATTACTGTATTATCTCATTGTGATGATGCCACAAACAAAATCACTGTATCTTTCAGAAAAGAGAAACCTGCCAAATTGTAGTAAAACATTAAACTTATATATTGATTATCTTTTAACAAATCTAGTTGACTTAATCCAAGCTAATCATTTTTTTCAGAGTATGCCTTTACTAATGAATAAATAAGCAAATTTAACTCTTGTTTAATTATGTCTCTGTAGAGAGAAGACATACTTTTTTCTCTATTTTCTTCTTTTTCCAAACACTTTTTAATTGACTGCCATTCTTTCATTTCTCAGAGAATTCACTTGAACTTTGGTAGGGTTATACCTTAGGCCAATATGTCCAGACCCCTTTTTAATTTTTTGACTTAGGCGTTTTTAAGGATTTTATGGTGTTAAAGGTAAAACAACACAAAAATGTATATTTTGTGCTCTTTTGCAGTTACATTTATAACAATCAAGATGAAAATTGGCACAAATATAAATTGTCATGCCCCCAACACATTGAATTAAAAATGTTAGATTTGCCTGTTTTGATTCTTTTTTCTTTTTAGGGGGTTAGAGCTCAGAAAAAAGCATAATTTAGAAGTTTTTGGTCAATTACTTAGGCTTGTTTTCATCAATTTACATGGCATTTGGTACAAAGATACTTTTTTACAGGCAATACACATTGACAAACAAAAATGTTAGACTTGTACATTTTTAGTTATTATAGGGTGGTCAAAATGTCACAAAAAGCACAATTTTAGGTTTTTTTGAAAATTACTCCACCATATTTTGGCCAATTTACATGGGATTTGGTACAAAGATAATATTTGTACAGGTCCCAAACAGAGATTAGACAATTTTAGAATTTTGTTTTTTGTTCAAATTTTCAGTAAGGAAAGCAGAATTTGGGGTTTTTGTGAACAATTCATGTGTATATCAACCAACTTACCTAGGTTTGGTACAAAGATATCTTCTTGCAGATTCCAAGCGGTGATATAGACAGACTTAGATTTTTCTGGTGTCAAAATTGGCCACATTGCATTGCATGGCAGAGACATGTAGCATTTGTCTGCAAATGTTGGCCTTTTTGATTTTTGTGTAATTATAATAAATTATTAAATCCTATTTTTTTTTAGCTTAAACCTTGTCTAACTTTTTTAATTGGTAAAACTATGCACACATTAGGATACATTCATAAAGCAGGTAAATAGGAAATGGTATTGGACAAGAGAATATTTCAATTTGCTTTGTTTAATGGACATGTATGTTTTTTTTTCAACTTTGCTTTTTCTTTAAAAAACAAACCTGATGTTGCATTTGTCAAATAAGTAGTGCAAATTAGAATTCTTTGAATGAAAGGTGATATGTGTAGGTGCACTATAAAATAAATGTGAAATATGCCTTAAAAGCATTGAGAAAAGTATGTGTTTGAAAACAATTTCAGTGAACCCTTAATTGTTGTCTTGATACATGAGTATAAGTGATGTAAAAGATTCTTTAACTTTTAAATTACTGTAGTTTATATGTAACTATTTCTAAGTTATTTTCTTAAGAAAAAGCAAGTTCTTTATAACTATATAATTTAATTTTGTGGTGTTTCTAGGTAATGTCAGTGTTGCTATTCAACTGTGGGATATTGGAGGCCAAACATTAGGGGGTCAGATGTTGGACAAGTATATTAGTGGAGCACATGTGAGTATGTACAATAAAGCTTAAAACTACAATTTTTTCTGTACTTTTTAAAAATATGTTTTATACGTGTATCAACAAGTACTATTAGCAGACTGCTAATTAAAACTAGGTAATCTGGATGGTAAATACATTAACTATGAGTAAAGAATCACCTGAAAGGTAAGCTCAGGTACATGGAGTAAATGAAATACAGTAGTCTGTGAACTCTCATAATCTTGCTGAGGGCATTAACCCTGTGACTCCCAGTACACTCTTTAAATTCCTTTGTGAGCATATCATAAAATGTGTTACTGAGTTACATTCAAAACTTAATTAAACCACTTTATTATCAAAGTATTTTAATGAAACTAACAATATCAAATTTATTATAATTCAAAGTTTTATATTATTCAAGTTATTATTCCTTTTGTTTTGAAACAAACAATTAAAACTACAGTTTTGTTATCATGTGACATGCATTCAGTTAAAATATCTTAGCTTTGGTTTCATTTGTTTCTATTCAGCTTAGTCTCAGTACCTCTATGACAATCTATGTGTGCAACGTAAAATTCCAATCACGAGTTTAACATTACAACTGCAAACATTACAGGAAAAAGCTTATATCATTTTCCCCTCTAATATAAGCCACATCCGCTTTCCATGTTAATCTGTTGCTAAGCAACAGCCTTTTCTATACTTGAATGGCATGATATCATGTATTACAATTGGCTATCAAAAAGCAAAATAAAAAACTTGCCTTGTTTTGAATTGCTTGGTTAGATCGCCAGTGGCATCAGTTATTATTATATACTTTCATAGTGTGTGGGGGCTCAGCTTCAAGAATGTCTGGACATATGGTAACCTTAACCACGGATCCAGGAACACTGCAGGTCCTTGAGTCAGGATTTGTCATTCATTTCATATCTTCATCTCTATTATCCACCCAACCTGTGGGGTTTCTGTCTCTCACAGATAATCAGGATTTTGAACATAGTTCTAGGGATATCAGAGTTTGGTTGGTGTGGGGGTAGTGAGTAAGTCATGCTAGTTCTTCTGACGTTTTATTCCTGCTGGTTTTTGGGCCTGTGCAGACAGAAGATTGGGGTCCAGTCAATGATCTTTCTCGTCTGTATCCATGCCTAGATTCTCCAAGGTTCACATGTTACTCATTCATCAATCTGAGTTGATGTTTTCTACTGGGATTGTAGATGTTCACGTTTGCTGTAGTTGGCTCCATCTGCACATTGCCATAGTGGTGGAGTCCCACCACTAACGGCATTTGTTGTGCACAAAGATCAGGTACTACTGTTCCAGGTTTTTACTGTGGGACTCACATCGGCATCACATGGGTTCTGCCAAATTGTAAGAATTTTTTCGTCACCTCCATACCATCACAATGTGCAAAGCTATTCCATAGATGACTGGTTTCTGCTGGCACTATCTTGTCAATTGTCATAACATCACATCCCGATTCTATTTTCAGAAATGACCAAGGCAGGCTTCATTTTCCAGGCTGAAACATCTATCCTTGCTCCAATTCCATATGTCATCAGTCTGGGTATTTTTTATTTTTCATCTTGTCTCTCAGTCAGGCTCAGTTCACTTCCATCTGACTGAATGCTATGGAAGAAGATGTCAGATTATTACTCACCTCTCCTCCCACAACATGGATGGCTCTTTCTCTTCTATGAATGTGAGCATCACTGGAATCCTTTGGGACGAGAGCACAAGAGATCCTTTTAATGGTTTCTGTGCGACTAAGTGATCATAAACATCAATTCACTGGTATCCCCAGTTTCATTAGTTGGGATCAGTCCTTGATCTTGAGGGGTTAAGTTGGGCCACTACTATGATATGGGTTCCTCTACTGCCACCTTGTCCAGAGTTCCATCTTTTCATTAATACCTTACTTCATGGATGTTGTGCATATAACAACAGTAAGGAATTCCAGGGTATATGCACAGACAAAGAGACTTCCCTAAACAATGTTTTAGTCCTTCTTGCTCTTTAATGGGCAATGAATGCCTTGTGGTTTGGGCTTATTAAGGTGAAAATTGTCAGGCTTCACTCTGCCAATTCCAAGGTGGTGTTCTGTTTTTCTCGTCAAGGAGACACCTGATCCAGGGCTTCTTGTTTTAGATTTTTGAATCTCCTTTCTTGGGACCATTACTGTCTTATTATACTACTAGCTTGCCATGTTCCACGTGTTATGTCAGTGGTAGCAGGTGAACTGTCTCAATTCTTACTGATTCTCCCAACAGAATAGATGCTTGCATTGCAAGATTCTGTTGGATTGTCTCTAATTTTTGCAACTCTGATTGGTGGGATGGCCTCTCATTGGATCACTCAACTACTGGCAATTTTGTCTCCAGTACCTCACCTTCAGGCTTTGGCAATAGATGCATTCTGTCAGGACAGGATGGGATTACAACTCTAGGCCTTCTCTCATTTTTATATGTTATGCAGGGTACTAAATATGATTTGTTCCAACCCATTGTCGGGTCCTGTTGATAGCACCAGATTGGCTGTTACACCCTGGTTTTTGCTTTGGCAGTACCTTTCGGAGTGTTCACCTCTTCCACTTCTTTTTCAGCTATCTCTGTGGAAGCAACCATGATCTGTCATATTATACCCAGCTATCCAGAAGTTAAATTTCAGGCATGGAGATCGTGCAGTATTTTACAGAGCATCAGTGTTTAATTTCTAAGGTTGCCATGTATCTGTCTCAGTTTTTGCTTACTCCGAGATGAACCTTTGTCAGTGAAAATGACACGCATATCGACAATGGTGTATTGAGAGGAGGTTGAACCTATTTTGGGCAGAAGTGCCAACCATAATTTGTTTCTTGACCTGGCTCTTTGGCAAAGGTTTTTTCATTTTCCATAGTCACTCTGTTTAAGGGAGCTTTATCGACTACCTTTCGATTATCATGACTACATAATTTTTGAGTCCCCAGTACTCTCCAGATTCCTCAAGTAGCTGCAGGTCCTTGATCTGAAATAACCATTCCAGTTACCTAGCAGATATATTAAAATTAGAGTACAGGCTCTTTTTCAACAACGTTTTATGTCCTGACTCTTATATGCCATATATCCTCTCTGCCTGAAGGTTTATTTTTCATGGCTGCTGACCTACAAACATCACCAATTGGAGTGATTTGTACTATTTGTCCACAGATCACCTTCTCATTCTCTCTACATCTTGGGACCAATTCTTCTTACCTATTCATCTGATCACTATTTCTCACTTGTATGTCCAATCAGATTTCGACCGTGGTCATGTTCAGTGAGGGTCTGGAAAGTTTTGTTGCCTGCTCTAATGTCTTTAGCAATGCTAGATGAGGATTTTTTTTCTGGGCTCTCTTTGAAGGTGAGGATTCTTTCTGAGTCACATTTAATCAGATTTGTCACATTTCTCTGTTGTTAGCAGCCCAGTCATATATGGACCTCTCCCAATACTTTTATCTCACACTATTTGCCTGATCTGGCAGTCTTTTCATCTGAAGATTTTGCCTATCCCCTGTAGCTATCTTAACCATTTCTGCTAGACTATACAGAGGGGTGAGCTTTTTCATTGCTACCTTTCAGGGTCCCTTATATTGTTTTCACAGGATCCCACTCTGTGGCGAGTGTTTCCAGTCAGGTGTGCTTTTATCAGAAATATCAAAAACTATCTATATCACTGCTTGTGTCCCACAAAAATGTATCTTTGTGACAAATCCCATGTAAATTTGTTGACACACACACAAATACTTCATGAAAACCCCAAGTTGTGCTTTCATCACTGAAAAATTGAGTAAAAGACAAAACTTTTGATACAATATCTTGCCTCCTGTCATAAAAAGCTTTCTTGACTTGTACTGCCCACTATTGGTGCAAACGTTTGTTCACCACTAGCTTTGTTACTCCCACTTATTACTGCATATACTAACTTGCAAATGATCATACAGCAACCCTTCACCAATAGAAGTGCAACACTACTCCTGTTGTAACTAGTGCCCTCTCTAATCTTGCACATGTTAATCACTTCTTGATTGGCAGTCCTACTGATTAGATGTGTTTTTGCTCGTGATTTAATTAACCTCTTCACACATTTTTATTTTCATGAATTTCTTCTTCAGTTAATTTTTGTTTTTGTTCTGTTTCTTGGAGAGTTATGCCCTCACAGTGTTAGGTGGTCATGATTACACCAGTGGAATTCCTGACCACGTCTAATGGATTGAAACCATGATTCTTAGCCTATGAAGTGACAGCTCTAGTCCATCAGGAGTTGACCACTTTCATGCTACAATCAGAACACATTGATGATTGTCCTAACAAGGTTTTCAGTGATCTTTTAGTTTTGGATTTGGACAGCCTTTTTCCCCTTTCCTGAATATGCCTCTTAGTCACGTGTCATTTTAGGGGATTTGCCCAGACTTTTTTTTCCCTTTTGCAGATTTGTTATTCAGGTATGTTTTCTCTCATTTCCTATGTTCCACCCCTGCCCTTCTCGAATATTCTGGTCCCACCTCCTCCTTTGTCTGGTAAGGGCTCTTGAATGGTATATGACACATATTGCTCCTTGGTTCCCGAGTCTATTTGTTTCTTCCATGAAATCCTCACCTCTTCCATGACCGTTTCCTTATACCTTTCTGGGTTGAATTAGGCAGTTCATTTGCCTAGCATTTTTTCCCTTTCTCCCGATGATTGTTGCCTTACCATGCCCCTGGCTGCACATTTCCATCTTCCCTTGGAGGACATCATCAATGCTGTTTATTTGTGGTGGTAAGTACTCTGTTAATTTTTCTTTGCAGGAGCCTTTATCACACACTTGGATCCCACTCTGTGGCAAGTGTTACCTGACCAGGTATACTTAGTCTTAAATCTGCACTGTGCAACCTGTGAATATGTTAGATGACTGTGATGTTGAGATTCTTTCTACTGGAGACCTGATGTACCATTCCAGATGCTGCCAAGTGTTGGTTGATTGACTCCATCCAATAGGTCCTCTATGCATTGCTATAAAATGTAGGAAAAAAG